CATTTAAGTTGGAACGTTTTAGAAGGAGCATAGATGGCTCCTTGAGGAATAAATTGGCCAGCTTCCCTGGTCCTCAGTGTCAGGAGGGGAGGAAGGAACCCCGAGATCCCAAGGAGGCCAACACCCCACCCCAGCTCCAAAGCCAGGAGCAAGCTCTCTAAGGAGGTATCAGGGTTCCCAGCTTTGGGTCTGCTTACGCCACAATCCTTACTTCAATCAGAAATTTCAAGACAATTCTATTTTATGACGTTGTCAAGACCTGGATTATAACCACATACGCAAAGTTACTGGTTATTTTTAAAGCAAAAAACAGCAACTGAACATCTGTGACTGTAATTATTTAACCTTTCATTGCTTTGTGCTTAACAAACCACATTTTTCCATTATCTACAAGTGCCCTTTAAACATCTTCCCTGGAACTTGCTTGACAGGCAGATCCCCAGGACACGACTGACATTTTTTTCACCTTTCACTATGACCTACGTGACACCCAAAGCCGTGGAAACCCTTACTTAAAGCCCATACCTGCATCTCCAGACTCTGATGCAATGCCTAACCATGTTTACTGTTAGCTGTGGGTTTCACTGGGTAAACCTGTGACCACAGCCTTCACCTGGGTCTTTGCACAGACCACCAGTGCCACCTAGGCTCTCAGATTTGCTGCATTTTTACTTTACTCATTCAACAAATACTCATAAAGCACCCACTGTGTGATACAGGCATCGCGTGGTGAAAACGCACAGTCTCCGCCCTGTGGAAACTGCATTCCCTATGGCAGCTGTTTCAGACATTCTCTTCTCAGAGCCTGGCGCCCTCCCAGCCCGCCAGCCCCCATTTTCAGCGGCGATGTCACTCTGGCCTTCACGGGGACGATAAAAGCAATGAGTAGAATGCCAGCTTCCATCTTGTACTCTCAGTCCTGTGAATTTGAAGAGTGCCAAATTACAATCCCAACAGGAAAAACGTAAACTGAGAGGTTTACTGAGCAGAATAAAGAAGGCTCAATCTACAAAATACACACAGGGGTACAGGGAACAGGGGCTGGTGTCGCAGCCTGGACCAGCAGCAGTGGCATCTGACACCACACTGTGCGCTGATGACCAGCCAGCCTCTTCTGTCCTCTGGGGGACGGTGCTGGAGCTGTGACAGCAACCACGTTTCTGCTTGGCCAGCAGCCCCCACCCCAGGCTCTGCCAGCAGGAGGCTCTGGGGACTGGCAGGGTGAGAAGGCCCCCACGTGCTACCTGTTGACTCCCACCTGTGCTGACATCATCACAGCCTTCTTCACCTGGGATCCAGTTTCATTTAAGTGAACAGCACCTGGTTCCAATTCCAGGTCTCACACGTGCCTAACATCAGCCTGATGGAGCCTCCACAGACACCAACACCAGTGGGCCACCATCGGCTCCCCACAGGTTGGGGTCCTGGTTCTGAGGATCTCAAAGAATCTTCTCTTTGTCCCCCAGCCCTACAGGCAGTGGCTGCTTCCCACTGTGACTGTCTCTGTGACATTTCTGTCTCTCTTTTGCCTCTTCTGTCCTCTGGTGATTAACAAACATTCACTTCAAACTCTTTATGCTAAATTTCAGTGTGGTTTCTGATTCCCAATTGCACCTGGGCTGACACCCTGCCAGGCCCTCTCACTTCTCACTCTAGGAAGTCACTGTGAACACATGACCTGACACCCACCTGCTCTCCATGTCGGCTTGTTTCAGCGTCCCCCCTCTTCGTGAAGGGAACTGCTTGCTCCAGTTAAAAACTCTGCTATCGTCCTTGACTGTGCTACCGCTCTCATCCCCACATCTAAGCAGTTGTTTCCACCTCGTAATCATCTCGTACACCATCGCTTTCTCTCCAAGTTCACTGCTGCTCTCCTGATACATCGTCTTTCCCAGTATCACGGTCACTTCTTCCTGCCTCCAGTTCCACCTGGCTCAGTCCCGTCCCGCCACTGCTAAATTCTGGATGTGTGCTTCTGAACTAGTAGCGAATGCAGCACAAGGAACATGCAATAGAATTCTACTCTTCTCTACCTCAGTCCCTCCTGGGTGACCTCACCTAGTCTCGTGGCTTTAAGTACCATCCATATACCACTGACTCCCAAATTTATAGCTCCATCTCAGCTCAACTATTTTCTTCCCAAAATGTGTTGAAGAAAAAACAGAAGCAACGTATAATTATGCCATACATGAAGAAATTTAGCAGCCATTCAAACTTTTTAACAAAGTAAAATAGAGCTTCCCCTCCCTCTCTCTCTCTCACCCCCTCTCTCTCTGCATGCACACCCCAGGGAAAGGCCATGTGAGGACATAACCAGGAAGGGGACCGTCACCAAGAACCCACCATAGTGGCGCCCTGAATTCAGACTCCTGGCCTCCAGAACTCTGACAAAAAAAATGTTAGTCGTTTAAGCCAAAAAAACAAAAAACAAAAACAAAAAGTCAAGTTGGAATTAAAGGTAACCATTTAAACACAATGTAGATAGCAAATATTAATAGCAAATACCCAGAAGGACAAACACTTAATACCATATTAGTGAAAACCAAGAACTAAAGAGGAAGCCTGCTAACATTATTATTCAACTTCACTTTGGGAATTCTTAGCAAATGTACTACAAAAAGAAAATTAAATGCTTGGTATTCACATTAAGAACAACAAAAAAATGAAATTATTTATTTGCTGATGACTAGGAAAAACTCAAGAAACTCTAATGAGTAAAGAAAGTAGAATTGTAGAAATCGTCAACTTAGCTGGATACAATATATCAGTACATTTCTTCCTTCTGAGCAGTAAGACCTGAATAAAGGAAATGAGAAGACTGTTCCATTCACAATAGGAACAAGGTTATAAATTAATAAGAAATAGAATTAATAAAGGTGCATGATTTCTATGGTGAAGTCAGTAGAAAAGAATAGGAGTATAGAAACAGTTCCTACTGTAAAAGAATTTAATGAATAACCAGATGGTATATTTCAGTTTAGTGGGAGAAATGGATGGATAGAATCGGGAAAATGGCGACATCTCACGTGGGAAGAGGGGTCACAGATGCCAAAACGTACTTAGGAGACACAGATGTTAGAATTTTCCGAGAAGACTTAAAGGAGCTATTTTTTTTAAAATGCCCCCACAATTGTAATTGCTCTCAAATGACTGAAAAGATGCAAAATCTAGGAAAGAAAGAGATGTAAAAAAGAACCAAATGGAAATTTCAGAATTGAAAGAAAACTAACGCAGTGGTCCCTAGTTTATTTAACATGTTACTATGCATGCAATTTGCATCATGTTTTTCTATCATAAATATACCCCTACAAACACGTGTCTTTAAAGGAGGCTTGGTGACCCACTGGCTGTGTGTCTCCAGTTTCCTGCATCCCAGACTCACAGGGCCAAGCCCAGCCTCACTGATTAGAGGGGGTGCATTTCCTACAGGGGGTAGGGAAGGGGCAGCCCCTACTGGTCTCTCCCTGTGCCCACCTTCAGGGAACATACCTCTGGCAGCTCATCACAACCCCTGTCACCTTGTAAAACCTGCAGCTGCCTGCATGGCACGGTGCCTCCTTCATGTCACAGGACACAGGTGCTAGGTGGGCAGCTGGCATGGCACAGAGCCCGTCATGATGTGGTGCTTTTGTTACTAGAGGTCCTTTGTTTTCTTCTTGGCTTTCACTTGCTTCCTTTTCCTGATCCTTTCACAGGACACATTTGGGATGAGCTGCACCTGGGTCCAGTGTCACAGCCACAGAGATGAAGGGCGTGGGCATCTATTGTACAAGGAGCCCTCACCGGCTCAGGGACTGGGCGGCTGTGTTCACTGTCTGCGTGCAGGCTGCGTCAGGCGTGCCCTGTGCAGGGTCTGCCCACAGGACATGCCAGGGCACCAGGTGGCACCGGCTGGCACCGTGGCAGAGGCTCTGTAGGCTCCTGGGAGGGGGCAGTGCTGATGAGGCTCCCGTGTGGGTGGGAAGAGAGGATCCTGTTACACAATTTTGCCTCCAGCCTGAGCTGCCGCCCAGCAGGACAGTGGCTGGGACAAAGAACTGCCAGGCCCCTCTGTGCTGCCCTGAGCACAGCTTTCCACAGGAACGCCAGGGTCAGCACCTCACAGGCCAGGCGAGGGGAACATCGTTGGTCCCAAGCAGCTGGCAGGGTCCACGCCTGATTTCTGCTCATAGTTGAGCCTACCTGACTGGCCCCTCGGCCACTGCAGATATTATTTCCTGTGTGAACATCTGTCATACGTGTATTTATTGTAAGTGCATCTTACACCTGTGGCTACACATGTGACAAGCTCTTACTTTGAGGTGGTCATCTGGTTTCCCCATAAATCACAGCCCTGAACTGGGCAGGGACAATCCTTCGGCTCCTATGTGAACAGGAGAGGCAGGAGCTGAGTCACAGTTCTTGCCCCCAAGCTCACAGCCCTTTCTGCACTGGACTCAGAGCAGAGTGTTGGCCCTGGGGTCCCAGCTGGGTCATCTGTGGCTCCTGGCTACTTGCTGACCATTGCTGAGTGTCCTGGGAAGTATCTAAACCATGCAGAGGGACATGGGGGGACATGAGACACAGCAACAGGACCAGAGGACAGAGACAGGCTGAATCCATTCCTGTGACCCCAGTAGGTCCTACAATCCCCTTCTTACCACCCCCTTCAGAGCGGTTATTAAAAAGTAAGCAACCTCAAAATAGCAAACCAGAACACCTTTGAGGGCTGATGGATCACAAGGGGGTTGGGTGACAAAAGCAGAAAAGTCTCACGTCCTACTCTGTGAGCGGCACAGGCTTCCTGACCCCCGACATCGTGCTGGGGTCACAATGTGGCTTCCTGGTGATCAATCTGTCCCTTACTCATCGCTGTAAGAAGGATATTTCCCGACTTTCTGCCCCCCATTCAGTACTAGCTGAGTGCAAAAGATTGTGGCAGTTCACTGGTGTCCGCCCCACCCCACAGGCCCCAACACCTCAAGTTTCGTTTCTGAGTTTCCTCCAGTCTGAGTTAACTTCCTGGTCTTGCTCATCGGAAGTGGCAGCTCCCCGGGACTCCAGCTTGTGTGTGACCCTCTGCAGTGTCCAGGTAGTGGGAAAGGGCCGGGCCAGGGCATGTGGGGGGACACGACAGCTGGGGGTGGAGGCAGGTGGCAGGGAGGGTGCCTCCTGGAGCTGAAAGTCAGGACATGGCCTGGGCAGTCACTGTCACCATGTCTGCTTTCACTTCCCCAGGCCATGTTCAGACAAATCTCAGGGGATCAAGGATGTGGGGGGAGCGCAGGCCCAGCAGGGTGCCCAGGTCCTCAGGAGGGGTACAGCTCCTCTGCCACAGAGGAGCCCACTGTCCCTGGGAATCACCCACCATGGAGTGGCCTCCAGGCAACATTCTCTGGGCCTGAGCCACGGGCCCTGCTTGTGAGAGGAAATAGAGGCCCCAGTAACTGTTGTCGAATCTTGTTTCTAATATCCCCATTGTCAGTTCCCTCTCTCACCTGCTTGGTGTGGGCAGGGGTGCAGGGCTGGGGTCCCCAAGCACACCCCTTGATCCTGGTGCCTCCTCCCCTGTCTGCTTGGCGGGTGCTGGAGACACTGTCACTCCCTCATCCTCAGCTCTCTTTCCCTCCATCAGGGAAGATCACAGACATGACAAACACATCCATCTCGTGGCCTGTCTACCTCCACTGTCACCCTACTGGGGTCCCCATGATACTATTACCCTGGTGCCTCTGTTTTTGTGGGGTGGGGGTGGGGGTGCAAGCAACATGATCGTCTGATGAAATCCTCCGTGAACCACCAGTCACCTAACTGTCACCACCGGTTGTAGAGACATAATTCAGGAGCTAATTATTCTCCAGGTTGATCAGGAAAGGAAGGTTCACAGCCCTCGATGAGTTCTCTCTCTCTCTCTTGCTCTCTCTCTCACTCTCTCTCTCTCTCTCTCTCTCTCTCTCTCTCTCTCTCTCTCTCTCTCTCTNGGAAGGTTCACAGCCCTCGATGAGTTCTCTCTCTCTCTCTCTCTCTCTCTCTCTCTCTCTCTCTCTCTCTCTCTCTCTCTCTGTCTCTGTCTCTCTATCTCTGTCTGTCTCTCTCTTTCTCGGCACTTCATCCAGAAAACTTGCAGTAGTGATGGAAGATTCTATGTCTGGACTGTCCTGTCATGATGGGGGTGTGGCTAGTGCAACTGAGAAGCTGAACTTTGGATCCGATGTTGTTCTGATAAATGGAAGTGGCCACACGATGGTCACAGCACTGCCCCATGTCATGCCCCTTCTGAGTCCCAGTTCATTTCCTCTGCCTAGAGAGAAGACCACGGGACCTGGGGGGCAGTGGCACCACAGCCCAGGTACGACTGCTTCTGTCCCTGTGGGGGTTCTGGCGGCTCCCTCTCTGCCTCTGGGTCTGATTCTGGAGGTTTTCAGGAGAAGCCATGACCTCAGCCACAGACACCAAGAGGATGAGGGAGGAAGCCACCTGCTCCATCTGCCTGAGCCTGATGACTGAGCCGCAGAGCATCAGCTGTGGACACAGCTTCTGCCAGCGGTGCATAGAGGGCTTCCTGGACAACCAGCAGCCAAATCTGCGCCAGCACCCCTGTCCCCAGTGCCGGGCTCCATTCAACAGGACAAGCCTGCGGCCTAACAAGCAGCTGGGGAACCTCATTGAGGCCATGAAGAAGCTGGACCTGGAGATGATGTGCAAGGAGCACGGGGAGAAGCTGCACCTGTTCTGCGAGGACGATGGTCAGCTCATCTGCTGGTGCTGTGAGCGGTCATCCCAGCACAAGGGGCACAACACCACACTCGTGGAGGACGCATGCTCAGGCTACAAGGTGAGCATGGGGGCTCAAGATGGGGCTTCGGCGGTCCCCACTGTCATTGCTCCCCAAACCTGAGGTCACCCAGCTGGACCCCCGAGCCTGCATCCTGAAGGATGGCTTTTCCCATCTCCCTTTTCAGCAAGATGGCTGAGGGTGATTCCTCCCTGGTCAAGTCCCGAGTGTCCAACCTGAGCTTATGTGACCATGTGTGTGATGGTCAGACTCGTCCCTGTCCACTCTCATGCCCAGGACCCTCTCCCAGCTCTAGGACAAAGTCCCCAAACCCACACCCACACACTCTACTGCCTCACACTGTGTGTGAGATTCCAGGCACCACAGGGGACAAAGACACCACGTTTCAGGCGTCCCGCAGACAAACCAGGGAAGACAGACCAGCAGAAAAACCAGCCTGGAGGCTCCTGATGTGGGGAGTGGGGGTGATTCCTGAAGGCCACACAAAAATTCACCATGTACAGAAGTGTGGAGGGAAGTGAGGGTGACCCAAGCTGAGGGCACCACAGGGCAAAGGCACATTCATGGGAGCTGTGCTGATTGGCCATACCTGAGAGGCAGGTACCAGCTCAGGTCCAAGTCCTGCCCAGAGTGGTCCTGGCCTCGGAGGCTTCCATGTGCAGAGTGAAGGTGACACTGAGAAGAGCCTCCTGGCAGTGACACCATAGAAGGAATGTCAAGGAGAAGATTCTGATCATTTCTGTAAGAGGGAGGAGGGGCGGTTTGGAGAAAGACTCAGGAAGGGGGTGAAGGAGGTGGAAATCGCCCTGAGGAAGCTGACCCTGGCTGTAGGGGCGTGGGCTGAGGACACTGTCCTGCTGCCTTACTCCCTGTCTGCTCTGCCCAGATCTGAGGAAATTGTTCCCATGCAGATATCCTATTCCGACCTCTCATGAGGTGGAGGTGGTCTTCTATCACAGTACTTGGCCGTCCATCAGGACATGTGCCTGGGCAGCCCTTCCTCAAACTCCAGGGCAGCTCATACAGGAATGAAGGTGTTTCCTACCAGGTAGCTGGAAAAGCAACAGCACAGGGGACGATGCTGAGCCTCAGGAGTCGGACTGCTGGGTTTCAAATCTTAGCTCTGCCCCTGACGCGATGGGTAACTCTCAGCCAGTTATTTAGTGTCTGCGTTTCCCCATCTGTAAATGGGGACAACAGAAGCCCTTTGCTAACAAGCATCACGGCCCTTTCTTGCCAGCACCGGGCACTTGGTGAGTGTGCTGGTGGGTGACAGAGGACAGGACCTTGGTCTTTCAGTTTGAAGCTTGACTAGCAATCTGGTTAGGCTACAAACTTCTTTCCATAAGAATATGAGAAATTATTTTGAAAAAGAACCTGAAAGCTTGATATGGACACTAATGCATTTTAAATTGGCTTCATGGGACCATCCTTCAAAAGGTACCAGAGCGCCCCTCCTCCACGAACTCCTTCTAACAGTGTCACCTGGTGCCCTGACTCACCAAACACACCCAGTGTGCCACTGTGTGCCAGAGCACCGGCCATGTCCGGGTCAGCACGCTGTTCTATCAAATATTCTCTCAGATGATTATCATGCTCTGTGCCACGTCTCCCTGGCAGGATGGGCGTGGAGGGTTGACCTCAGCAGGTGACGTTAGGCTCACAGTCCAACCATCTCCTGGCTGTACCCCTTGGGCAAGTCACAGAACCCCTTCCTCAGCCTCAGTTTCTGCATCACTGAATGACGTCAGAGCCCTACCGGTGCTCAGGGGTGTCAAGAGTGTCAGATATATCCCTGCACATACAGCCCTCAGCAGGCTCCTCACACAGTGTGAGGACTCAGTAAACATCCAGCGTGATCCCAACAGTCTCAGATGGCTAGGGTCCCCCTCGGTGCCCAGTGAGGAGCTGCCAAACTGAATCGACTTTGTTCACCCCATTTTCCTCCAGGAACTGCTCCAGGAAGCTGTGACAAATTTGAGAGAACTGGAAAAGGAGTGTAGGAATCGGAAAGAGTTCATGACAAAACAAATAACCGAATGGAACGTAAGAATTGGGGTGTACTGATCTCAAGCTCTTTTCCCCCATAGAGCTTAGGCAGAGGGGTGGATTGGGCACATGGGGTTGGTTCCCACTAAACCAGACCAGACAGGTGGAACCCCAACAAGAAGTCCTGATTCAAGCTTATCCCCTTCATTGTCTCCATCTTTGAGAATCTGTCTCCTACCCTTCGGCCTGTCAGTAATCATTGGCTTGGATTCCCGACCCCTCAGTCAGAAGAGGCAGCGTGGGTACATCTGTTCACCTAGAGCCATCCTCAGTGGGTTTCAGATTTTCAGCACCTCCAAGGAACTTCCTAGTCTGAAGACCTCAACCTCAGCACCTTGGCACATTTACCACCACACAGGTGCCACTCTCGGCCTCACAGGCTCAGGAACCAATGCAGGTGGACAGTCACTGACTCATCTCATGTCTGATAAAGGATGCATGTTTTATTTATAAGGACAATCACGTCTGCTGCAAGAGCCTACACCCTTAACACAGCAGGCTCTGTGTCTCTATTTCCATGGTCAGACATGCATTCCTTCATGGAAACCGTTACATGACCCATCACTGGCTGGCCGGCGAGCCATCATGCCTAGGTCACAGGTCTCTCCCCACCTCTGCCCTGACGGACGTTAGCTGTGACTTCTCAGAGGACACTGCTACTCCCCTCATTTTTGAGATCATGTTCGGGGCAGGGCCTTGATCATAACTAATGGAAACACCATCCATGACCTTCTACCCCAACATCACGGTCACTGAAACACCACGCAAACCACAAAAGCACTAGTGGAAATTGCAATTCTGCGTCTCCCAAAATAAAAGCTGAGTCCTACCACATACCTCATTTGGTTTAGGTCAGTTATACACATAGGGATGATCACATGCACCCCGGGCTGGTGGTAAATATGTCCAGTTACCTGGAATAAAAGCCTGCCATCCAGACATCCCCCACTGAGAAACTGGAACCCTCCTACTGGCCTCACTGTCCTAACGTCCAGTCTTGGTGTGATGCTCACTACAAGCTATTATTCCAAAAAATTTCCTCACACTCAGGCCAACCTTCACATCCTCATCAAGACTCCTTTCATGTTTGTAACAGATTATTGGCCTCAGCCCTAGCCCCCTGGTTACATTATCCAGTGCTCCTGCCCCTCCTGGCACCTGCCTTTTGGCTGAAAAACAAGGAAACAAATCAGGTGACCACAGAGGTCCATGACCCTGTCTCCTGCATTTGAGTGCCTCCCAGCTGTGACTGCAGCACAGACCTGGGGACATTCTTCCAGCTCGATGGCTCACGTGCAAATAATTTCATCACAGTTGAGCAAACTTTCTCTGGTATGTGCATGTGCGTTAAAATATCCATAACACAAAATCTATCATTTTCACCATTTTTAACTGCCAGGTTCAGTGGCATTAAGTACTTTTATACTTTTGTGCAGCCATCACCAAGGTCCATCTCCAGAGCTTTTCTTCATCCCAAACAAACTCTGTCCCCATTGAACTCCAACTCCCCACCCCATCCTCCCAGCTCCTAGCAACCTCTATTCTTCTTTCAGTCTCTATGATGTGACCACTTTAGCTCATTCGCTTAAGTGAGATCACACAGCCCGCGTCCCTTTGTGTCTGGCTCATTTCACTCGGATTTCCTTCTTCGGAGCCCATCCATGTGGTAGCACGTGTCAGAATCCCGTCCTTTTAATGGCTGAAGAATATTCCGCTATTTCTGTGCCCCACACTTTGTTGATCACTCAACTGTCTCTGGTCACACGGGTTGTCCCATCCTTCTGAACACCCTTTTTCTACTCCAGACAAAGGTGGAGCTTCAGAGACAGAAAATCCAGGATGACTTCAAGGAGCTGCACAACTTCCTGCAGGAGGAAGAGAAGTCCTTCCTGTGGAGACTGGAGAAGGAGAACGAGCAGACTCTGGAGGCTCTGAGGGACAGCGAGGCCAGTCTGGAGCGCAAGAGACGTGAACTCGAGAGTCACATCCAGCGCCTGGAGGACAGGTGTCAAGACTCAGCCCAGAAGCTGCTGCAGGTGAGGCTGGGCACTCAGAGGAAGGAAAGGAGGGGTGTGATCCTAAGCGATGAAGGGGACAATGGTGAGGCAGGGTGGGGAGACAGCTGAGCCTGCCTGCCTCTCTCAAAGGTGGCACATCAGGTGGGGACTTGGAAGTGGCCTGTCTTTAGATGCAGATCAATGACTGCGAGGTGGCTTCACTAGTGTATAAGCTTCCTTACGTGAATCAGAACAACATGCCCCCTCCGGATGCGTATGTGGAGTTGCTCGGCCGAAGAGACCTTGGGGTCATTTCTATTCCCATTTGCCCCATCCATGTGCCCAGAACCCTGGCATCAGTCTCCTGAAATACTCGTCCAGGTGATGTGGGTGGGGAGGCGGGGCAGCCAACATGAACGGGAACCTTTGCCCTGATTTGCTTACAACAGCCCTGGTGCCCATGCTCTTAGGGGACTTGTTAGGATGCAGCCCCCCTGGCTGTTTATTTCAGTTCCACTAACAGGGCTGCAGGTCATCCCCTGTGGCTGCGAGCATAGTGTGACCGCTCCACCACCACCTGCTGCCACCACCATGGTGGCCCAGCCTCGGGGCAGCTCTCTGACGACTGGTCTCTAATACGGGTTCACTCGGAAGGAAGTTAGGTGAATGAGAGCCAGTGCTGCCCGAGGGAGCATGGGGTGACCAGCTGGCCCTGCTCCCCAAGCAGCCCACAAGCTCCACAGCCTCAGCAGGACGATGGAGACTCAGGTGGACCCACATCCCACCGTGATGCACACCCCGGGCTGGGGTGGGCACCGTCCCTTCTGGGCACCCACGATGCCCAAGGCCGGGCCCCTGTCTTCGTTCCTTTGGAAGGAATGTTCCTAGAGAGCACACCCACCTGCCAGGCTCCCTGGAATCCTGATGTCCCCACACTCACCTTTCGTCTTTGTTTCTGTGCAGGACGTGAAGGGCACTTTGAGCAGGTGAGTGTTGTAGGAATGTAGGAGGAAGGGCATGGGGACACAGAGCTGATGGGACGCACCACTAAGAAGTGTCCGGCCTCCATTTTTTCCAGGAGCTGGGCTGTGAAGCTAGACACACCATACGCCCCACCTTTAAAGATTCAGACTGTCTGCGATGTTTCTGAGCTTTACTTTGATGTGACGAAGCTGTTGAGGGGCTATCAAGGTACGTGAGGGCGTTCTCCAAGAACAGAGAACACACATGCTCATTCCATCCCTCACCAATCCATGGGACAGATGTGATCATTCTTACTTCTATGTCACAAAAGTGAGGCTCTTGGGGTGACCTGCCCGGGATCACACAGCTGGTCAGCAACAACATTCAGATCAGAGAACAGGCTTGTTTTACTTCAAATTAATTGTGTTCTCTGTGACTAAACCATGTGTTTTATTTTCCCTTTCAGTCAACGTGACTCTGGATCCAGAGACAGCTCATCGGGAACTAATCCTGTCTGAGCGTCAGAGACAAGTGACTTGGGAGCCCTTCCAGAATAATGTGCATGATTCTCCTAGGAGATTTACCACCTACTGCTGTGTCCTGGGCCGTCAGGGCTTCACCTCTGGACGACATTACTTTGAAGTGTATGTGGAAGGAGGAACTCAGTGGGAGCTAGGTGTTTGTATGGAAAACGTGCAGAGGGACACTTACACAAAGCCGAAGCCCCAGTCAGGGTTCTGGGCCATCAGACTGTGTACCAAGGTCAACTACATAGCGCTGACGTGCCCCCCCACCCCCCTTCCCATGCGGGAGCGGCCTCTGCTTGTGGGGGTTTTCCTGGACTATGAGGCGGGAGCCGTCTCCTTTTACAACATGACCACAGACTCCCACATCTTCACCTTTCCCAGGGCCTCCTTCTGGGGCAAGCTGAGGCCCTATTTCCGGGTTTATCCCTCTTCTCCTCTGTTCCTGCCTCCCCAATATGAGTAAACAAAGGCACAGTCTCCTTCTTGGCTTCACCAGCATCCAGAAAATAACATGAATCCTGTGAGGAGGAATTTTGGTCTGTTTTCTTCCCGCCATTTCCTTGTACCTACAACAGTGAAGGCGGAGCCTCTGGTGGGTCCCTAATAATCTGCATTGAGTGAACAGCCCAAAGGACTGTGAAACAACACAGCTGGTCAGTCTGGAGGTTAGCAAGATAGTAGCAGTGACCAGACCTTGTCCTCTCCATCCCCTTCCATGGGGTCAGAGCTCTGATTTCCGACAGTCCTTGGGTGACCAGCAGGGTGACCCAGAGGTCAGGTCTGAGTCCTCCCAGTGTGTTTCACGCTATGTGAACTCTTGTGGGGATGAGGGGAAGCTGCAAGTCTCGGCCCACAGCAGGAAATCCACAGAGCAGTGACTCCTGTGCACACTGATGTTTGGTGAACAGCCTGAGTCATAGTTCTGGGTGGTGGTGAGTGCAGAGGCTGTCGGCCTGACGGAAACCAAGCCAAGTGTGAGAGAAGATGGAGACTGGGCTTAGAGTGAGATGCTGCGAAGGGGGAGGAGATGAAGAGGCAAAATGAAGTTTGCTGGGGGACACAGTCCTGGAATAGAAGCTGATGTTCTCCAGACTGTGCTGGCACTACTATCTTGTAATATTTCTAATACCAGTCAATAGCTGTTGTAATGGTTGTTGGCCGTGTAGATTACGATTTAGATACAAACCTCAACTATACATTGGTTGCTTGGAAAAGTATATTACATGTCACACCTAAATCATCAGGATCAGTTGGCTAGTGACAGGACCATGATGAAGTCAACAAAACATGCACAACGTTACTGATGACTAAAACGTGTCAAAACATCGCTGAACATTATGATAGTTTACAGTTGATATAAAATGTTATTTTTGTCGATGTTGCAGTTCTCTGACTTTCTTTCTCTATGGACAAGAGAAATGAAACAAGAAAATTGCATGAGTCGGAGGCATAGTGGGCCTCCACCTCCATCAGAGGGAGACATGGCAGAGGTCAGGCTATCACCCACTCTCCCCAGTGGCATAAGTTCTCCTCGCCACAATGATAGAAACTGGGTGTAACTCAAAAGTGAAGAGTAGCGGAACACACCACCCCTCATATGTCACTTGGGCATAACATCTATATTGAGCAGAAGGCAGTTGAGAAAAAACAAATACAAGAAAACCTCATTGTCCTCCCCTATTAGCCTAAAAGGAGGACATGAAGTTAATTGCCAGAGACAACTCTACACCCTTATCAACCCAGAGACAGCATCAGAGGGACCTACAGAACGAACCTTATGAAAACCAGCCCTTATTTAATATTACTTTTCCCATATCAGTCTTCACACATTTGCAATCTAGGAAGTAATTTTCTGTTCTCTCTTCACCTCTCTAAAATTCCTGTTTTTTGTTACGATGCTGTGTATGCAAAAGTCCCACCCTCTGCTCTGAGATGCTAATGTCAGAGCATCACCACCTGTACACAGGTGCCCAGGAAAAGCGGCCTGTTTCTCCTCGGCTCTCTCACTTGACCACACTCACAGCACTCCACTTCTGACACCAGAGATGAAGGTATTTTTCACACACCAACTTGGGTGTCTCTCAATTCAATTCAATTCTGACACTAACTGGAGTCAGACAGACCCCACAGGTTAAGGGCCCACCCCCACCTCAGACACCAGTCACAAGTCCCGGTTGTCACTCTGGTTCTGACTGACCGGGTATAAATTGGAGGTTTCCATGACCCCTCTTAGGGTTCAATCATTAGCCAGAACAGCTCACAACACTCAGGGAAATAGTTTGTTTACTGGCTGATTGTTAGTAAAGAATATGACAAATGAGACTGTTGAGCATCCAGATGAAAAGACACAGAGGACAAGGTCCAGAAGGGTCACTAGGACAAAAGCTTCTGTCCCTGTGGAGTTGGGAGGTGGCCGCCACCAGGCACGTGGATGTGTTTACCTTCCCAGAAGCTCTCTGGGATTTTTAGGGAGGCCTCATCAGATAGACATGATTAATCATTAAGTTAATCCCCAGTTCCTCCTTCCTCCCTGAAAGGTGGGAGAAGAGCTGAACGTTCCAAGATTCTAATCTTGGCTGGGAATTCCTGGTGACCAGCCCCACCTGAAGCCACACAGGCGACCACCCTAAGTGGCCTCATTAGAATAAAAAATGCTCCTATCACCCAGGAAATTGCAAGAAATTTAGGAAACCTATAACAGGAACCAGAGTCAAACAACAAATGTTTTAAATAAAGATGCCTCTTTTAACACTTTTATCACTTAGAAAATTACAAGCGTTTCAGGAGCTCTGTGCCAGGAACTGGGGGCAAAGCCTAATATAAATTCTATTATGTCATAGCATGCTAATAAAGCTCTGTGTTTCTCTTATTAATCTGTATTTTGTGAAACAAATATCAGGGCCTTAGTTAGAGAAGCTAAATAGGTAGAGGAAAAATATTTATTTTTCTCCTTACACAAGGAACCCCTGTGTTGTTTGTCCCCTGTCCTCATGATCTGAGCACAGACCAACTTATGGAGCCTCCAACCCACTGAATGACTGGGAGACCCCCACCTTCACGCAGGACAAGTGAAGGCACAATCCTGACATCGCTAAACTCACCTCTCCCTCGAGGTCTCCTGCAGCCCTGTCTGATCAAGGTGCATCCTGCCCAGTCGAGGAGGCCCCGTGTACTGGCAGGGCTTAGAGTGGAGTATTCTGCTCAGAGGAAATTCTACATTCTGAAACACTTAAAGTGCTGAACAAGACAGGGTAGTGATAAAATAAACCTTCAACTAAAGAAAAATAATAAATTAACAAATTAAACCTTTGGGAATCGCATGGAAGAATAATAAAGATGAAAGTAGAAATTGAGAGACAAAGCCAAGATGGCGCAGGAGGTAAACGCTGTGCTTACCTTCTCTCACAACCACATCAAGATTACAGCTAACCAACAAAACAACCAGTATTGAGAATCATCTAAAATCAAGCTTAACCAACCTTTCAACTAAGGACATGCAGAACAAGCCACCGCCACACTGGTAGGAAGGTCAGAGATGTGGAACGGGCTGGAACCACACCTGCATGTGACAATTAAACATAAGGAGGAATATTGCAGCTGTGGGGATGACCCCATTTCCTGAAGGAGTGAGGGATCCCAGCCCCACCCCAGCCGAGGGTTCCAGTGCTGTGGAGAGAACTCCCTATAATTTTTGGTTGTGGAAACCAGCAGAGATTGTGACGAATGAGACTGGGTGCAGCTGCAATCACAGGCTCTCCCTTTAAGAAGTCCACTAACACTTACCCACCAATAGAATCTCTGGCTCGGACCCATTGTGCTGGGGCAGCAACCTGAAAGGCGGCAGAGAAATGGTGGGGAATTGAGTTGTCTGGCTTAAGACGGGGGCTGGAGAGGCAGATTTCTCCTGGATTGAGGAGCTGGCGGAGGCCATTATTTCTTTGCTGAGCCCTCCCCTTCCTGGCGTGCAGACGCAGGTGGATGTCATATCTCAGTCTCTGCCATTAGTTTGCCCCACCCTGGCGATTTGAGATCTGGCCCTGCCCAATTTTAGGGCACACTCAGGCTGCCTCAGTGTCTCTTTCATGCAGACCGCCTGCTTTGGTCAAACTGCAGACTTTCCTAAGTTGCCTCAAAGATACACACAAACCAGACAAGCAACACCTGGCTTAGTGTGTCCTGTACCTCTGGCTGAGCAGCTCTAAGCTGGCACTAGCAGGAACCAGCCTTGGTTCACAGCTTGGGCTCTGAGGGTGCTTCCAAGCACAGCACGGGCTTCAGCCATCTACAGATTTTTTTCTGGCTCCCACTGGGTGGCCCCTGGTGGGGAACTGACTGGGGCTGAAGTAGGCCTACATCAGATCCCCTCCAAGGTGTCCTGGGGGTGGCGCCCCCAGTGTCCAGCTTCAAAACAAGCTGGAAAATCACCCAGCAGCCTCAAAGTATGATACACCCAAGGGGCAGATTGCACAGGTGCCAGAGCCCAGCTGAGGCTGATCCTGTTCTGTAGGCTCAGCCCCTGCACAACAACTCTTCCACTGTAGTCAAGGCCAGTCCTCACAACCAGTGAGCCCAAGGGTCAGTCCCTCACATTGATGTGCAATTATCAACCAAGGTTCAGCTACAAGAGGAGGGCACACTCACCCACACAAGGGATGCACATGGAACACATGGCTCAGGTGACCAGAAAGACTGCCACTGAACCCCACAGCACACCTACTACATAAGGCCACTCTACTAAGACAGGGAAACATAGCAGCCCAAAGTAATACATTGAAACACACACAGGGAGGCACCAAAATGGGTGACAAGGAAACATGTCCCAAATGAAAGAGCAGAACAAAGCTCCAGAAAAACAACTAAGTGAAATGGAGATAAGCAATCGATCAGACATAGAGTTTGAAACACTGGTTGGAAGATTGCTCAATGACCTCAGAAAGACCTTCAACAGAGAGACAGGAAGCATAAAACTGGAGATAGAAATCATAAAAAAGAACCAGTCACAAATAAAGGGTATAATAATGGAAACAAAGAATATATTATAGGGAATCAACAGTAGATTAGATGAAGCATCCAACAAGTCACATAGAAGATAAGGTAGCAGAAAACACCCAATCCAAATAGCAAAAAGTAAAAACAATCCAAAAAGTTGAGGAGAGTTTAAAGAGCCTCTGGGACAATATCAAGCATAACAACATTCACATTATAGGAGTACCAGAAGGAGAAGAGAGACACAAGGAATTGAAAACCTATGTGAAGATGTAATGTCAGAAAACTTCCTAACCTGGTGAAGAAAATGGGCATACAAGCCCAGGAAGCACAGAGAGTCCCAAACAAGATAAACCCAAAGAGGCCAACACCAACACACATCATAATGTAAATGCCAATGTTTAAATAAAAAGAGAGAACCTTAAAAGCAGCAAAAACAAACAAACAAACAAACAAACAAAAAAGCAGTGAGTTACATACAAAGAGCCCCCATAAGACTGTCAGCTGATTTCTCATCAGAAACTTTGCAGGCAAGAAGGGAGTGGCAGGAAAGATTCCAAGTGATGAAAAGCAATGACATAAACCATGATTGCTCTACCCAGCAAGGCTGTCATTTAGAAGAGAAGGACTGATAAGGAGCCTCCCAGAGAAGAAAAAGCTGGAGTTCACCACCAAACCAGTATTACAAGGACTTTTAGAGGGCCTCCTTTAAGATGGGAAGGGTGTTAAAGATGGGTGAAAGGGGAAGGGATTGAGAAGCACAAATTGGTTGTTGCACAGTAGTCATGGGGATGTAGGGTATAGCATAAAGAATAGAGTCAACAATATTGTAATACCTAGATATGGTGCCAGATAAGTACTCGATCTAGCAGGGTGATAGATGGGAATGGGGTTGGAGGCAGGGTGAAAAGGTGAAGGCAATAAGAAATACAAATTGGTAGTTAATACTGCATGGGGAATATAATCAGCAATGTTGTAAAGATCACGTAAGAGTCCAGATGGGCACTGGGCTTATCAGGGGAATCACGTCATAGACTGTGTAGATGCTGACCAATGCACTATACACCTGAAGAGCTGAAGAAGAATATTGAATATCAGCTATGACTCAATATATAGATATATATAGTCACAGGGTGTAGTGTACATCATAGGGAAGATAGTCGATGGTACTGTAACAGCTACATAACATGTCAGAGGGAAGTAGCATGGGGGGTGGGATATCACTTATTGAGGGGTTTAAATGTCTACCTATTATGTTGCTTTGTACACTTGAAACTAATAAATAAAAGAACATAAAAATTGATTGGCGTGCCGGCAAGTTACAGAAAAAGAAAGAAGGCCAGCTGCTCCTTAGGGCAAAGT